ATTAACTTCTCTTCCCTTCAGATCTTTTTCTTCAGGATAGTTGAGAATATGTTCTTATTCCTAATATAACTCTATTATGACTATTATAAAGTTTTCACATACCCATAACTGTCTTTATGGACTGAAGCTTTTTTTGTTTGGCCTTCATCTCAAAAGTGAACTTTAGGAAAGTTGGAAGAGAATCCAGTCAGACACTTAAATGTAAGTCTTATTATGCTTATTAATGGACAAAAATGTCCAAATCTGATATACTTCTAAAATTCTTCAAGAGCAACAATACATTTGTCAAATTACATCACCCTTCCCTGCCCAAAAGGAAAAGGGACTGCTGCTTTCAAGACAGAGACAAGTGGCACGAGAGAGACTTCAAAAATGCCTTGTTGAAACATATATAGGAACCATCACCTAAGAATTCTCCCTAAAAATAAATAGTAAATTAGATTAGACATTTTTAGAATAATTTCATAGCTTACCCCTGTTTCTACTCCCACCCTTTTCCAAACAACTTTTTTTCCTGCTTGCTATTTTTAATATTAGAAACAACAGCATTTAATATCTCCCTCTTTTGCTGAAGAAAGGGGGTAGGATCTTTGGAAGACATGAAGAGTGATAATATGAGTGAAGTAATAACTTTGATTGAACCAGCTTCTGTTGATGAAAGAAACAAGCTTTGAGATTACACAGGGCTCTGCTTCAGGTCTCAGAGTACCTTTCCCAGACCTGAAGAAGAGTTCCGTGTAAGCTTGAAAGCTTTTCTCTTTCACTAACAGAAGTTTATGCACTAAAGATATCACCTCACCCACTTTATCTCTTAGGCCGTGTCCAGACTCAGGGGTTTTTTCGGGAAAAGTAGCCTTTTCCCGAAAAAACTTCCCCTGCGTCCAGACTCAAGCCGCGTTCTTTTGAAAAAGTGAACTTTAGGAAAGTTGGAAGAGAATCCAGTCAGACACTTAAATGTAAGTCTTATTATGCTTATTAATGGACAAAAATGTCCAAATCTGATATACTTCTAAAATTCTTCAAGAGCAACAATACATTTGTCAAATTACATCACCCTTCCCTGCCCAAGGAAAAGGGACTGCTGCTTTCAAGACAGAGACAAGTGGCACGAGAGAGACTTCAAAAATGCCTTGTTGAAACATATATAGGAACCATTACCTAAGAATTCTCCCTAAAAATAAATAGTAAATTAGATTAGACATTTTTAGAATAATTTCATAGCTTACCCCTGTTTCTACTCCCACCCTTTTCCAAACAACTTTTTTTCCTGCTTGCTATTTTTAATATTAGAAACAACAGCATTTAATATCTCCCTCTTTTGCTGAAGAAAGGGGGTAGGATCTTTGGAAGACATGAAGAGTGATAATATGAGTGAAGTAATAACTTTGATTGAACCAGCTTCTGTTGATGAAAGAAACAAGCTTTGAGATTACACAGGGCTCTGCTTCAGGTCTCAGAGTACCTTTCCCAGACCTGAAGAAGAGTTCCGTGTAAGCTTGAAAGCTTTTCTCTTTCACTAACAGAAGTTTATGCACTAAAGATATCACCTCACCCACTTTATCTCTTAGGCAACAGCCGTTTAATTTGGCACCCTAGGCAACCGCCTAGTTCGCACCTATGAACGGGCCGCCACTGCAATACAAAAGCAGTCCAGGGATCACCAGAAGTCTCTAACTTAAGGTACACACAGAGTGTGAATTATTTCAGGACAGGTACATGAATTCCTGGTGACAGAGACCAAGCATCTTCACATACAGTCTTATAAACAGTTCTCTAACATCCTAGGAAATCATCCCAAGCTAAATAAAGAAAATATAACTTTTAAATAAATTATTGTATCATGACTTTTTAATACAACATTTTAATGACCATATGTATTAACAGTTCTAGATTATTTACATAAACTTTGCCCATATTATATTTCAAGAAATGTTCCTTTTTCCCTTTTGTCGTCTTGATTTTTGTTTTTGTTTATCTGTTCCATCTGCTTGTAAAGGCTTTGAGATAGCACAGCGCCATGTGAATATTGAAAGTATTGATCCTGTAAATTATTCCACAGTCTCTCAGTGACTGGAACAGTTTGAAATAACTATACAGCTCTCAGGGTAAGTCTACACTTGCCCCCTAGTTCGGACTGGGGAGGCAAATGAAGCATATCGAAGTTGCTAATGAAGCGCGGGATTTAAATATATGCATATTAGCATATTCGCGGCCAGTCACCATTTTGAAATGCCAGTCGCCCGATTTAACTTGCCGCATGGAGGCGATCCAAAATCCTTCCCTTGAATTAACTGTTACTCCTCCATCTCAGATGTCCAGTATTCTCTGAATTTTTTTACCAGACAGGAGGCAAAAATACTGGGTGAATACCGGACACCTGGCAACTCCATTCTTGTATCCAGAGTTGTTTCCTATCATAAACAAAAACTAAAGCTCTTTGGGTCAGGGACAGTATTTTTACTTCTTTTCTGTACACCATCTTCTACAATGCCTTGCTGGTACACCAAGCCCCAATGATAAAATATAATCATCATCAGAATTGATTGCTCTGACATTTTTCTCTTAGCTCAAAAAACCAACCCTCTTGCATGTGAATGGAGAATAATTTGGCAAATCAAACACTGAGATATGAGTCACTGTCCAAATATGCTCATCTTTCCAAAGCTAATGTCATTCTGGCATTTATGTGTAATGTAAGTATTTGCATAGAAATCCCTTTCTGTGCTTTTGATAAATTACCTTCATAAATAAGCAGAAAGGTAATTGAATGATCTCTGCTAAACAGTGGTATCTGATTACGAGTTTGTCCCGCTATGTAAAATCTATGTAATAATGATAGTTGGCAAAAATGACCTTTGAGTGGCTTCTACTGTAATATAGCACTTGACATCTTTCATGAGTGGGAAGCACTGGCTCTCAATATATTCATCTTTAACAGACATGAGCTTGAATTCTCAACATTTTCCCAAACTGGAAAATAACAATTAAATGTGCTGTCCTAAGCATTACTACAACAACTAGATACATTCAGTTATTTTCAAAGGAATATATTATTTAAATGTCTCACTAGTTAAGTGAAAGAACAGTATTATATATTAAACACGTGTACCCTTTGTGCTCCTGCAAAGATAATCAAGTGCATAATAACTGGTATCAATAAGCAAATACAAATATTAATTAGTAAGTAATTAGAAACAACAAACGCAGGAGCAAATCCTGTAAATACTTAAGCACATGAGTTATTTACATTAGTAAGGCTGCACTAGAACTGACTACTCCCATGAGTAAAGATGACCAGGTGTTTATATGTTGCCAGGATCTGGCACATAAGCAGGAGGGTAAGTTATTAATTTACCTAAAGTGCTTGTCAATTGTTAACACATCTGACTTACAAGAGCCATTATAACTAATCATTAAATACCTTACACATTTTGTAATTTTGTTTCACTAAAAATTTAAGAAAGTATATAAAATATTTTTAAATGATTCACATACATTTATCTTGAATGCCTGGGAAGTCTGAAAATAAAATTTACTTGCTTACTATTATTTTTGTCCCTCCTTTTTACCCTCAGATCTACTTGTCTATTTGGGGATAAATTATGCCAGCTGGTGTGGGTATTCTAGAAATCAGAGAGAGTGCAAGGAGTCCTTCTCAACCTTCTCTTTCTTGTGTATATAACCAAGAAACAGGCATAGTGAGGTGAGGAAGAATAGCTACTGACGTTGGCAGCCGAAAAGACAAAAATTCAGGGTGGGGTGAAACTAGAGCCATTGAGGAACTTATTTACCAGGTTAGGTGCATTAGAGAGAGCGCTTTTGTGTAGATGTAGGAAGAGACATCCCTCCCCCTGCTCTTCCAGAGCTCTAAAAATATTATACCTTTTATAGAGATAATAGTTCAAGGCACCTCTCTCTGGTGTACATATGAGTAAGAGACACCTGGAGAACTTCAATCTGTTTCAGAACTCATCCATTTTACCTAAGTCCAACCTTCTAGTGATACATATCTGTATGCATATGTTTCATATATTGTGTATTTTATAACACCTTACACTTAATTTTAGAAACGGACTCCTATGTTCTGTCATGTATTTGCACTCCAGGAAGTCAGAGTTTTTAGACATTTAAACACATTTAGCAAACATAGCAAATTATGTGACACCATTGATTATGGAGGGTTATATTAGAGTCTATAGTATAAATACATGACAGAACATAAGAGTCTGTTTCTAAAATTAAGTGTAAGGCGTTATAAAATACATATATGTATGTTTCATATATTATATATCACCTCAGATTTAAAAATGCTCTACAAAGGAGAACAAGGAGCATTAGAAAAGGAAACTGAGGTACAGCGAAATTAAATTACTAGTTCAAAGTAAGAGAGCCAGTTAGTGACAGAGATTGGAATTTTATTTCTATTAGTGATCTCCTATATCACTTGGGCCACATACACAAAGCAATACTATTTCCCTTATTTTTATTAGAAATACAATAACTCTGTAAAGAACATCCTTACATTAGTTCATTATCACAGAAACAACATAATATTGCCAATTCTGGTACATGATTTTGTCCCACACTTTGGATCTCACCACTTTTTTTCAAGCCACACTGAAAAGTCAAAGAGCAG